ACGCATACAGGATGCCGGTATGGCCATTCACTTGACCTCACCTCGGCAAAAGGATGGGTCCAACGAGATAGACCCCCTGTGTATTTCGTGAGCCAACGGCCAGTTCACGTGAACTGGCAGGTGTGGGGATAGCACTAAGCATGAGGGCGGAACAAGCACTGTTGGAGTGGATCCCCGTTAACAGTCGTTTATGTGCTGTTCGGCTAAACGGCTTCGTAAGAATTCGGAAGGATAGGGACACGCGTCGTTACCCTTTCGTCGTTTCTACCCACGCTCCCACCGACTGCAGCTCGGATGAAGTGAAAGATGAATTTTACAGAAAGCTATCTGAACTTCTTCAGAAAGCTAAACGTTCAGACATAGTACTCGTAGCAGGTGAGTTTAATGCCCAGATAGGTAGTTTAAACCAAACAAAAAGGCATTTAGGTGGGTATTTTAGTATTCCGGCACAACGAACAGGTAATGGTGGTCGTCTGCTGCAACTGTGCTCAGACAATCGTTTATTTTTAACAAACACAAATTTTAAGCATAAGAAGAGACATCGTATAACATGGCGACCCCCTACACCAAACCAACGATGGACTCAAATAGACCGTATTGCCATCAGTCATCTTTGGAGAGGGTCGGTAGAAGATTGTCGCTCATTCTGGAGTACCCGCTTGGACTCCGACCATGCCCTAATACGGGCACGCATCTGCTTGCGCCTCACTGGACGCAAAAAAGCCACACCAAAAGGATCCATTAGAACTGGATTGAGTAGCGAGAAAACCAAAAGTAGGTTCCAGGAACAACTGAGGTCACAATTAGGTAGTTCTGAAAACGAGGTTGACCCAGATGTTGCTTGGAAAGCTATACAAACTGCTGTGAAAACAGCAGTGACATCTATCAGTGATTTAAACCACAGGGTTACAAAGAACCAATGGATTTCTTCAAGGTCTATTGCACTGATGGATTCTCGCAAACTCATCCCATCAGGTTCTGAACACGATGAATAGCGTAAACAAATCAGATCTAGGTGTTTGCAATGCGCTTCTCTCCCAGCAATATTTCTAAGGCATCTGTGGTCAAATACTAGTAGCTTTCAAGATAAGTGAAGTTGTCAACTCTTTCGACTGCTTCATTCCCTATCATTAGTTCAGGTGTTGACGCAGACCAGTATTGAAGCAACAACTTGCATTTAGAGGGAGAGAAGCGCATTCCAAACATTCTGGCATTGTTGCTTAGTGCTACCAGAAGGCTGCATTTTATCAGCGTCTTCACCAAACAGGACTATATCATCTGCGTATTCTAAGTCGATAAGTGGACCTCCTGGAAGGAGATCAATACCCGAGAATTCAGTCAACGAGAGTTATTTCCATCAGTAGGTCTATGATGAAGTTAAACGAAAATGGAGAAAGTGGACAGCCTTGACGGACACCACTTGAGGTTGCAAAATCAGATGACAGTTCGCCATAAGCTCTGACTCGACTAGTAGTGTTCGAGTAAAGAGCCTTCACAAGGTTTATGTACTTCTGAGGTACGCCTTTCAATGACAGACACTGCCACAGAATCTCGTGGTCTACCGAGTCAAATGCTACTTTTAAGTCAAGAAATACCACCATTGTCGGACGCCGATAAGTATGCCTGTGTTCTAGAACCTGACGAATGGTGAATATGTGGTCGATGCAGCCACGACCAGGTCTGAAGCCAGCTTGATTCTCTCGTGTTTGCAGTTCACGAGTCTTAGTTAGGCGTTTGATAATTATCGAGGCTAGTATTTTAGATACTATATTAGTTAAACTAATCCCTCTATGGTTGTCACAGGATGATTTTAACCCTCTCTTATATATTGGGACGATAAGTGATTGTGACCAGTCAGGTGGAATAACGTCTAACTCCCAGAACTTAGCTAAAATATTAGTCAACCTAATCGCTAAAATTGGACCACCATCCTTAAAGACTTCTGGAGCCAATCCATCTGGACCAGCTGCCCTTCTTCGTTTCAGATTAACTATAGCCTTTTGAACGTCAGTTAGAATTATGGGACCTACTTCAATGTTCCATTCACACTGTCGGGTAATGGTGGGTAGTTGTAGAGTAGCTGAAGGCCATCTGAACTGTTCTCTAAAATGTTCCGCCCATCGTTCTAAACGTCTAGACTGGGAGCAGATGAGAGTGTCGTCTTTTTCCGAAGTAGTCTGACTCACACTTGACTGATTAATTCCAGTTTCTTTTATTAGTCTGTAGAGCTGTCTTGTGTTCCCATAGCTGCCGCCCTTTCCATCTCTTTCGTTGCCCACCACTGCTCACGGTCGTTCCTTAGACTTTTGCTTAACCTAGATCTGATTTGTTTACGCTATTCGTCGTGTTCAGAACCTGATGGGATGAGTTTGCGAGAATCCATCAGTGCAATAGACCTTGAAGAAATCCATTGGTTCTTTGTAACCCTGTGGTTTAAATCACTGATAGATGTCACTGCTGTTTTCACAGCAGTTTGTATAGCTTTCCAAGCAACATCTGGGTCAACCTCGTTTTCAGAACTACCTAATTGTGACCTCAGTTGTTCCTGGAACCTACTTTTGGTTTTCTCGCTACTCAATCCAGTTCTAATGGATCCTTTTGGTGTGGCTTTTTTGCGTCCAGTGAGGCGCAAGCAGATGCGTGCCCGTATTAGGGCATGGTCGGAGTCCAAGCGGGTACTCCAGAATGAGCGACAATCTTCTACCGACCCTCTCCAAAGATGACTGATGGCAATACGGTCTATTTGAGTCCATCGTTGGTTTGGTGTAGGGGGTCGCCATGTTATACGATGTCTCTTCTTATGCTTAAAATTTGTGTTTGTTAAAAATAAACGATTGTCTGAGCACAGTTGCAGCAGACGACCACCATTACCTGTTCGTTGTGCCGGAATACTAAAATACCCACCTAAATGCCTTTTTGTTTGGTTTAAACTACCTATCTGGGCATTAAACTCACCTGCTACGAGTACTATGTCTGAACGTTTAGCTTTCTGAAGAAGTTCAGATAGCTTTCTGTAAAATTCATCTTTCACTTCATCCGAGCTGCAGTCGGTGGGAGCGTGGGTAGAAACGACGAAAGGGTAACGACGCGTGTCCCTATCCTTCCGAATTCTTACGAAGCCGTTTAGCCGAACAGCACATAAACGACTGTTAACGGGGATCCACTCCAACAGTGCTTGTTCCGCCCTCATGCTTAGTGCTATCCCCACACCTGCCAGTTCACGAGAACTGGGAACAAAAAGTAACAAGAAGAAAAAGGCTCAATCACTGAGGTTGAAGAGCAGCAGAAGTGGTTGATGGAACACTTTGAAGTGCTCTTGAGTAGGCCAGACTCGTTGAAGCAGCGCACAGACCTTCCTATAGATGATGTCTCACACTGAGAATTAATAAGGCTATCAGGCAAATCAAGGATGGCAAGAGCAAACAGCATATTAACTGAAGTACTAAATTCATATGTAGAGGTATCAGCAAAGATATGTTCTTTTCAAAAGGATATGGAAGAACAAGTGCCAAGAAACTGTGAAAAAAGCCTAATCATTATACTAAAGAAAGTTCTTATTGGGTGAGAACTACATAAAGATTGCACTACTGTTAGTACCAGGCAGTTTTCAAGTGTTTCTGGACCTAATGAAAGGTTCAGTAAACAATAAGAGACGAGAAAAATTGGTAGCAAAGAATCATATATTTATATAGTATTACCATACGTTTTACTTTACTATGAGTAATTAAGATAGTACACGTATTTTAATGCTCTCATTATCCTGATCATGATTAATGTTCTGTAACACATCAGCACAATGAAATGAACTTAAAAAGTAAATGGCATTATCAACAATGGTGAAAACGACTAAGGAGTAGGAACATGCTTCGAAAGAATGGATGTTGTGAAGGTATGTGTGGAGTAGTGAAACCTACGATTAAGGAGGTAAAATGTGAATGTTTGCGCTACTATGATCAATTTCGGGTCAAGTCGACCAATGTCTCCGACTGCTAATCTTAATTATCTAGTAGACTCTAGGTAGTCTGTGTTTGCCAACACGACCTAACTCAACAGTCAATGACTTCATAGACATATTGAATCCAAAGACGCCTCTAGGTTTTCCTAAATCATTCATGTTTCTAAGTAAACAGTGGTTGGAAAAAAGTAAAACATGACACATCCAGTTCAGTCAATGGAGATCCAAGGTCTAATAAGTTAACTCACCATTTCTGTCTGTCATAGATTTATGTGAAGTTCCTTAACAAATAGATGAGGGCTTAGTCCAGTACGACCTAATTGCATCCAACAACCACAAACATATATTTACTTATATCCATAGACAATCTATATTCAAGCAAGCTAACATATGATCTGACATATCTCGAAATATGACGACAACCGGTTTGACAGTAGCGGAGTGATTTCTTAGATCTCTCAGACGAATATTCAGAAGTGCTAGACTATCCTAAAACTTTTACAATCAGGCGAATGAACCATAATGAATGGACGAACCAATCTGATTCGAGACAGAGACATTTGCGGTCTTGCACGGAATTTACTCATCCATAGGGTTAAATGGCATTTCGGGATTACAGCTAGTGTCACACTAACTTTGATACCTAAACCCAAAACCTTATTATAACTCCTAGATCCGACTCTTCATACCACTTTGTGACCCCACTTTTACACTTGTAAATGGTTAGTGTCTCACATCCACTTTAGTATCGCTTAAAGGTAGCCCATAAATTATAATCTCGCTCATTTTAGTAGTAACATAAGGTGAGGTAGATAGTTGAAAACAATCAATGGCTCACGTAAAGACGTCATATTGTTTAAAACTACGTAAACAACGATAGGTGTCTCTAATTAGTTAATGAGATGAAACTCGGTCCACATAAAATCATTTGGATATTTTGGTTCTTATATTAATCTCCTAGGTTTTACGTTTCGAATGAATCGAGAAGTTAGTCAGAAATAGGACTTGGAGACGAGGCTGGTTACGTGAACTACGTAGAACTTACTCGCAACGTTTCTATTGAGTGGATATTTTCTCGGCACTGAGTAGCGACCTTATCACTACCAGTCTTTGACAAGTATTCCAAAAGAACAAGAGCCTTGTAAACATGTCGCCAGTTTTTACTCTTATCATTGAGTCTTCTCCAAATCATTTGCATTATTTCCGTGAATGCCATAACATTATGAGTCTTGTCAGCTATTTCGGCCATTAAAGTGCTGCTAGGACCCCATGGATCGTTCGATGTAGCTTCCCGAACCTTTCTTTCAGCATCTGTATAATTGTGAACGACATTTTTTATATGTCTGTGGATGGGCATGTCCAAGTAAAGACAAAGGAACTTTAGGAACACAGTAGTAACACTAATATCAAGAGAAGCGCACCAACAGCTAGCCCGAGAATCCTTCCAATGTCCAATATCTTTATCACGAACTTGTATGAACCAAATGATTCCTTTGCACCCGAATCTTGTCGTTTCAGTACAGTTCCAGTTGCTTGGTAATGTCCAAAAGATGGTTATCTGGCCAGTTATCCAATCAGTTTATTAGTTTATTTCGGATCTGATTCAAATGGTTCAAGTGGTTGTGGACGGAATAGGTTTCGCTTAATGGGCTTCTGTATCTAGTAGCAGTGGATCGTAGATGCCCCCAGACAAGAGTCCAGGTATATTAACGAAGAAGGGGGAAAATATCAGTAAATCACAGTGAAATACTATCCTTGGTCCTTGAGAATATGTTGCGTTACCTCCGAAAGGACTCCTGAGAAGTGGTCTGAACTAGCTCAACTGGTGGAAAATTCCGACAGTTGACCACTCTTAAGGAGTGGAAGGTGTGCCTACAGTCTGTAGTGTTAGTCATTAATTTTAGCCCATAATATATCTTATTCTAGTTTTCGGACATTCCATTCTATTCATTCTACTCGAGTCATATTTTGACCTTGTTAATTATTCGCTTGTTAGCCTTGACTGTATTCATGTGAGCGTATATGTATGTACACTTGATGTCCCATGACTCATCACATGTCTGTAGTTCATTTTGTCTGCCTATAAATATTGAGTAATGTTCGGCTTGAATTGGAGTTGGCTTCCCAGCCATCTTCCCTGCGCGTCATTTCGCTTTGTTCTATCGCATTCACTTTACATACAAAATATATGTATTCAATGGCCATTCTCGTTAATTGACTTATTTAATTCCGTTATGGACTAACGCGATCTAAGTCGACGATGATATACGAGAATAGGTGATAACAATCATTCGTACAATGTAAATGGAGTCAGATCAACGGGCCACTAAAAGTCTGTTCTAATTTGTCGCTTCTCCAGTTTCTAGGTGTTACTCCTATGGTTTGTGTTGGGACTAAGCCTAAGTAGGTGTTTAGGGGGATGTCCAGAAGTGTTTAGGATGCTATAAGTCGTAAGTCCTCTCTAAGACCCCTGTACTCCAATGGATAAAAGTTCAGTGATTGGGAGTGCGAGTCATATGACTTGAATTTGATTCCCCGAAATAATCTCGTGGCTCGCCGTTGGATGCGTTCCAGAGTGCCCTAATCTTTTAGAAGAATGGGAAGAAATACTATGTTTCCGCACTTTAAATAGGAACGGATAAAACTGTTGATTATGTGGAAAATTCTTCCGTCAAACTGACCAAAAATGAGATTCAACTTTACCATTGCAAGCTTTGCTCAAAAAGCATTTTTGTCTCAGTTAGTGTAAGACTTCAAATCGCAGGGTACAAACACTCCTAGATCTTTTTCAACTTGGGACACCTCCAGAGGGGTCATCTGAGAAGAGGTCCTAGTACTGAACATTGGGTGACCTAACTAAAATATTCCATAGCCTGAGAGAAAAAATAAAGTTAACCCTGACCACAAAATGTCGAATTTTTAGATATGAAGTGAGCCAGTCAATTAGAGGTGAGCTGATATCCAGTCGTTTGAGCTTATTGATAATATGTATATATGGTTTACCCTATCAAAACCTTTTGAGAAGTCAAGGTAAATGACGTCAGCCTTCCCTTTCGATCAAGGATGGTTGTCCATCTGTCCACTGAAATCAGCGGGTTGGTTTTCCAAGAGTGACTTTTTCTGAAACTGTGTTGTTGGGCTGGGTTGGACAGTTAGCAGTCTCATAGACCGCCACCTATCATGGATTCCATAGTTTTTGAGGGTATAGAGAGGAGTGCTACCGGTCTGTAGCTTGAGGGTTCGCTGCGTCGATCTCCATTAAAAACTGGTGTAATGTAAGCCAGCATCCAATTTTCTGGTAATGTGCCTCAGCTTAGCCAGTATGAGAAAATCACTCTGAGCAATGTTGCTAAGATTGAAGCTGATTCCCTCAGTATAGCAGAATGAGTCATATCCCGGCCAGGAGAAGTGTCACTGATTGGGCGCTGCAGCTTCCGACACACCAAGTCATAGCTCACGTTCACTTCTGAGAGTTCTGTTAAGTTGCTGATGAATCACTCATGAATATGGTTAGTATTAGTCATTCCAAATGCTTGAAAGCACTGTCCTGCTAGAAGGTCGGTGGCGTCACCGTCGTTACTGGTTGAGCTACTAGAAGCTAGGACACTCCGGTTTTGGCTTGTCGAAGAGAGGCTGAGTTACGGAATAAGCTTTTCAGATCGGAGACAAGTTAATCTATTACCTATATTTGATATAGAAAGCTATAATCCTTTATTGTCTTCGTACATTCTTTCTTGCTTGTTTGAATTGCCTGTATGCGTTGTTGTCAGTTCGTTTGTATTCCATCTAGTAGTGTTTTCTGAGGCTTAGCAACACGAAGGGTGATATTCTTCATGACTGCAGGTTGCTTACAGTTTTGGGGGAACGTTTGTCGAGTAGACTACTTTGTGGCACAAAATATCGTGTGCAGTAAGAAATCCTAATGAGTGCTCACGTCAAGCTGGGGATGAACTGCCTAATCCACTCGCGAAACTGACTTTAAGGGGGTTGAAGTTTCCTAGAATCAGGATGAGTCTGTTGGAGACGAGTAGAGCGTGATAATTCTTCCAGCATACGAATGTCAAACTAGATTTCATCAGTGGGCTTCTTGTAGACCACTTCAACTAGACACTTCGAGGTGTTAGACAATTTCACCGAACACCATACGAATTCATCAGAATTGATAAACTCCTGGTAGTACACTTGATGTGAGATCAAGCAAGATCACAGGAACAGGCATACTCCGTTTCCCATTCTTGTTTTTTCCGTCATTGTGAAACAAAGACACGCCGGATATTGCTAGTCCCTTGTCCGTAAATTGAGGAGACACTCATGTTTCAGATATTCTTTCAAGATGAGTATTATTAGCATTACGGAGTTCACGCAGCTCATCTATTTTATTCGGCGTTTATATATAGGCAGTTTATGCTTTCAATTCGGGACGCGTGAGCTTTTACGACCTGTTTGTCTGTATGAGCTTTATATGAATAGACAGATAGCCTACCTACACAGGGTTTTAAAAGTTGATATTCTCTGTCCTTCCTATGTTTTTTTTCACGATCTTGATAGTTCGCAAGTGGAATATCCTGTTTCAATTTGCTTTCGTGCTTGATCTTTGCATCATATGGCCTGTCACATCCAGGTATCAAATTTTATTCCTTATTTACAAGTAATCACAAATATATCGTTCTAATTGCAAATATAATAACTACAGAACAAGCCCCCGAATTTCACGTTATTGGAGCAAAAGCTTCCAAAATACCGGACCACATACAGAGCGAAACCGAAGTCTGAGATACAAAAACAGATTTAGAGTTGAGTATTGAAAATACATCCAAAACACGGTGAAATCATTAACAATCAATATAACATTTGGTATCGTTTTACTTGAATCTTCTCAATGATGTTTTAAGACTGAAATTGATCAGTCTCTTATTAGCATATGTGTAGTGGCATTGGACAATAACCGCACAATCATCAAAGGCGTCTCGGATTCTTTAACGTTACGAATTTCTGATAGTTTCGAATCACCTAAAGCAACAATACCTATTTTTCCACTGACTAATCCTCAATCAACACTATAACTAGTTAAACGTAATAGTTTGAGGATATCATTATGAAGCATTGTCATGACTTGACAATCACGTAATATGATTGATAAAATTAATGAAACTATTAACAAAATCGGTCAGCAAATTGACTTATAATTATCACTAGTGTTGTTTTTCTTTTATCTTCATTCACTACAGATGATTACAGTATGTTTCTCTATCAGTTGCTCATTCAGTAAATATCTCAAAACCTTGTCAGTCTAATTGATGGTTTAGCAACACAATCATGCATGCAAATAATCAGTATAAGCAGTCGAGCAAATCTCCTGCAAACTGAAAATATCAATGTCGAATTTACATCAACACTGACTGAGCCCAAACAACCAAAAAAGGGAAATAAAGGCGAACGAAGGGGCTTGAACCTAGGTTCAAGCCATTATCATAGACATGAGTCGAGAGTGTACTCCCCTTGGTTACAACTTATGTCCTCCCTGATAATCACATGAGCGTCACTCACTGTTAATTATCTTGTAAAAACTTATTTAGCTGAATACATCTTGCAGCACCACATCACTTAGTAATATGACACATAGGCTTAACTAATTTCAATAACTTATAACCACTATATCTCAGTTAAATCGTATTCCGCCTTATGATAAACTGCATACTTGCAACTAACTTGTGTGCCCAATCAGGCGGCAAGTATAAATATAAATAAATGGTCTGCCGCAGATCAGAACATTGAGTCTAGAGCATGTCTCTTACGAATACACTCATGTTTAACGATTTGTTCTTAGCTATCTATCCAAAACTCATATAATTATCACTCACGTATTTAAATTTTGTTTTGGTAACCATTCATGTGTATTAGTAGTATTACTAAATTCTATCACGGTCAAGTGAAAATGAGTTTGAGAATATCTCCTCGTAACTAAATAAACCGTATCAAACTAACTGGAACACTAGTTGGAATTCTTCTCCACGGTAATACTTTTGTTCCTTCAGTTAGCCTACTAATACAAATGCAATTGAAAATCAACTCATTGACAACTTACTAGCATGAACGCTATTTGATTTCCTAACTAAAACCGAAATGAGTACCAATATTAACATATCTACAATATTTATTACTTTAATATTTCTAAAAACAAAATAATTACTACCTATACGTTAAGTTATTAACCAAAGGCCATCAACACGCATCGTTATATTATTACTATTATTGTAATCTCATTTTTTATAGCTCAAATAATCTTCACTCGAATTCTCATTTTAAGCGTGTTAAGCATGAAGGCAGATATTTTAAAATTATTACATGTATTTCCCGACCAGATGCTGCCGCCTTCCTCTTGATTTATCTTTCAGCTTACCATTACACATGGATGCTTACTAGTCTTGGTAACCGGTGCACGGCAATCCCATCCAGTTCAGTGTCGGACCAACATCACGTTGATTCTGGTGGGAGAGCAGTATAGTGGCAGTGGATAATAACCACACAATCCACAAAGCTGAACACGAGACTACTCAGAAAATAGACAT